GCACAGAGGTCAACAAATGTCTGTAGAGTCAATAGCTAAAGACCTCCAAACCTCGTGTGGCCTTCAGATTAACACAACAGTGCGTAGAGAGCTTCATGGAATGGGTTTCCATGGCTGAGCAGCTGCATTCAAGCCTTATAACACCAAGTGCAATGCAAAGCGTTGGATGCAGTGGTGTAAAACACTCTGCCACTGGATTCTACAGCAGTGGAGACGTGTTTTCTAGAATGACAAATCATGCTTCTCTGTCTTGCAATCCAATGGACATGTCTGGGTTTGGCAGTCACCAGGTGAACAGTACTTGCCTGATTGCATTGTGCCAAGTGTAAAGTTTGGTGGAGGGGGGATTATGGTGTGGGGATGTTTTTCACAGGTTGGGCTTGACCTAAGGCGTCAGCATACCAAGTAAGCTCGAAAGAGCAGGGCCCTCAAACCTCTCGTATATTGTTTTGTTACTGTATTGTCTCATGTTCTGTCCCCCACTATATTGTACAGCGCTGAGCAAACTTTTTGGCACTATATAAATACTGTATAATAATAATAATAATTTCGGACAATTTCATGCTCCAATTTTGTGGGGACAGTTTGGGGATGGCCCCTTCCTGTTCCAACATGACTGCACACCAGTGCACAAAGCAAGGTCCATAAAGACATGGATGAACGAGTTTGGGCTGGAGGAACTTGACTGGCCTGCATAGAGTCCTGACCTCAACCCCATAGAATAGAGTGGAGACTGTGAGCCAGGCCTGCACACACACACACACACACACATACCCACTGACATATCTGCTAATATAGGGAGAAATATTAAAATTTTGTAACTTTTTTATTTGGATTTTGTCACTCCAATCTTTATATGATATTATTTTCGTGTTTACAAAATTTTATCTTGGCTGACATGTTTGAAAACAGTACACATTACACGAAAATAGTAAGTTCTGCTCATTATCAAGAAAATTTTATTGTTTGCCCCTTCAGAATTTTGGAATACCTGAATCGGCTGTTGAAAGTTGTGTACACAGTTTCAGAAAATCGTACAATCATTCTGAATATGGAAATTTTCATCCGATTATCTTATAGTGTGCAGCTCCCTTTACTCTGAACAATCTTGAAGTTTGTAATCTTACTTTGTGAAGATCACCAAATATTTACTTCCTTGAATTCTGTGACTCGGATTCACTATACCCTGTGAGTAGGCACTGCTGTGTCCAACATTTCACAGAGCCTGCCTTCTGAACTACAGAGGTGCTGACAGGAGGAGTTTCAGAGCTGGAGACAGCACAATTATCCCAGCTTGCAAGCAGCAAGGTAACAAAGGATCTGTAGTTCTTAAAAACTGAAATTAAATAGTAGAGGAGAAGCTCTGAAGTAGTGGTCTCCAAAATGGAGCCTTGGGGCTGGATGCAGCCCTTTGCTTGCTTTTATCCAATCCTTGGGGCACTATTCCATTCACTGCCACCAACAACTGGGCATATGTCCTTCCACTGTCACCAATGAAGGGGCATAATTCTTCCCAATGACACCAATGATGGGGCACAATTCTTCCCCATGACACCAATGATGGGGCACAATTCTTCCCACTGATAACAACAATGGAGCACTATTCCTCCCACTGACACCAACAATTGGGCATATGTCCTCCCATTGACATCAATGAAGGGGCAAAATTCCTCCTAATGACACCAACGATGGGGCAGTATTCCTACCACTGACACCAAACGATGGGGCATTGCTTAGTCCCACTGACACCAGGACAGTTTCTACTCTCACTGGTCTCAGTCCGGCACCCATGCAGTCTGAAGGTCAGTATACTGGCCCCTTGCTTAGAATGTTAGGAGACCCCTGCTCTAAAGCATACAGGGAACCAGGAAGTTGTGGAAAGAGATGGCAGCAGACAGGGAGAACTGGACAACATGAAAGGAGATTTTTCAAGTAAACTTATGTTGGATTGTTAAAAATAACTATTGTTTGTATTAATATTACAATGCTGATGTTATAAAATGAAAGTGTATCCTATGACTATAGATTTTCTGTAAAAAAAATAAAAAAACGTAAAAAAATATTAAGCAAGAGTAAAAGACACCTATTTTGACAGACAAGGGACCAGACCAGAGAACACAGGTACACAAATCTTATCACAAATATTCACAAAAACTAAAAGAAAGCCAGCAATAAAGCAACAAAAATATAAAATATGAGCTTTGGGTAGACCCAATTTTAAAAGTAGATGTAAACCCTATCACTACAATCTCATTTATGCTTTAACAAGTGATAGTCACTTTAAAAGTTATTTGTAATATTTTTTTAAATATGCAGCTTTCAATAAACTAATACCTAATAATACTGTCATGATGGTCCTTGATCAGGGACTTCCTGTTATAGATTGACAGCGCTTCGTTCCTGTCTCCCAGTTGTGCTCCTGTGTTGTCACCTTGTCACACAGGCTTTAGATGAAAGTGGACATTTTAACACGTACAAGTTAATATGGACAACTACACTATTATAAGATATGGTACGGAAATTATAAAAATCACAACTGAAATTCTGTGCATTGTGACATTGTTTAAATGCAATGTGATATTTCCCAGAATACAAATCTGCACTACTATAATGCTGTAAACAAACACAGCCACTGGGGAAGTACCTACAGGCATTAATCATTTCAAGAATTATGTCAGATAATGGAACAAATATGTACCGTCATTAAAATACTTTATTTTGGTACTGTAGATAGTCAGCTCCACAGTTTAAAGGACTCATTTCTACAACCGTATTTAAAAAAAGAACGAATTTCATTTAACCCCTCTTGCCCTTGCTTCTAATGCTCTTGCCCTATCACCACTTACACGGAGCTGATCCGGAGCAGACAGGTAATGAATCTCTCAGCAATGCGGAACATGTCTGATCATAAACATACATTACAATTACATGTTGTGTACTACCACAAGAACACTCAAATCAATTAATAAAAGCTGAAACCTTCCTGGCAGACACATCTGGGAGAGGAAAAGCTGTCATTTCTGATTAATTAGGTGCCTTTACAGAAAAAAAAATATATTGAAAGAGTGAAAATGTTCCGCCATTTTTGGAGCATGTAAAAAGGGATCCTTACCAAAATTACCAGCATTTTCAAATATTTTTTGTTCTCCTTAAAAATATTAGGTGATATGGTCTTCAATTAGAAGTCAATATACATTTAAAATACAGATGGGAAAAAAGTGCTGTAGTTTTTTTTTCTATTACCTTCCTCCTTTTACTTTATTCAAGTGTCCATATGGTTTAAAAAACATCTGTCATTAATCACTTTCGTTGGGGAATGATGTGGTTATAAGCAACAAAAACAAAAGCTATTAAAATAACCATAGCAAATAGAATAGGTGCTATCCTGACTTATCACCCGGGTATATGAAGCTTGTGGTCTCAAAGATAGGTCTAGATTTGAAAATATCACTAACGTTCTAGTAGAAATTAAAACTAAAATAAATAACTAAAATAAATAAAAAAATAATAAATTATTTGTTTTATTAGCTTATTGTTACAAGGACAAAAATCCATCAATGTTTCTTTTTGACAAGGTGCAAGTATCAAGTCCCTTTGGGTTTGACTTACTAAAGTGTGAAGTGAGGTGAAGAGCAGTGAATAAAGCCTGTGTTCACTTCAAATATTCAATCGGGCAAAAAAAAACTGTGTGATTGAAATTCTCCAGCACATGGTTAAATGTACAGTATAAATCCAATACACCTAACTCTTCAGTTAGGCAGGTTTTTGTGACTTGCACCTTGACAAAAAGACCCTTTTGTGGTCTTCAACACTGTGGGATTTTTGTTCTTTTAGCTATGATGAATAAAATAAGCAGGGCTGGTGCTACAATTGCCAGGGCCCTCACCCTTTCCATGGCTCCAGTTGGCAGAAGGGAAGCAAATGCAAGGAGCTGGAATGCTGTACATATAGGGCCTCCACTTTATATTTGCACATGGCCCCAGCTTAACTCAAAACAACCCTGATAATAAGTCACTGTGGGGGGATTTACTAAAACTGGTTCAATCAGAAACTGGTGCAGCTGTGCATGGTAGCCAATCAGCTTCTAATATCAACCTATTTAATAAAACTTTGACAATGTAACGTGGAAGTTGATTGGTTTCTATACAGAGCTGCTCCTGATTTTGCACTCTCCAGCTTTAGTAAATAAACCCCATTGTTTCATCATTAAAATAGCATTGGAGATTTCTGAAAACTGGACATTAGTGGTGGCATGATTTGTCTCAAATTGCACCCATTGTAAGGTCACAGTCTAGACTGTTGATCTGATCTCACTGAACAATCTCCTGAATTGGAGCTAATAATCCAAAGTATCTGAACACTGAAAGTGTTTCTGTGACTTTATTCTTATGTGAAATCTTCTGGTAGTAGGATCTAATTTTTTTGTATTTTTCAAATTCATTTGAGGTTTTATTTGTTATTAAAGGAAACATCTTCTTAAAAATTTAGTTTAAAGTGAATTTAACCACTAGCCTACAGGGCACTTATACCCCCTTCCTGCCCAGGCCAAGCGCTCTCACACTTTGAATGAAAATTGCGCGGTCATACAACATTGTACCCATATGAAATTTGTATCATTTTTTTGTGACAGATAGTGCTTTCTTTTGGTGGTATTTAATCACCTCTGGGTTTTTTATTTTTTCTTAAACAAACCAAAAACCACTGAAAATTTTGAAAAAAAAATGTTTTTTCTTAGTTTTTGTTATAAAATTTTCTAAATAAGTGATTTTTCTCCTTCACTGATAGGTTGCGCTAATGGACACTGATAGGTGGCACTGATGGGCATTGACAGGTATCACTGACGGGCACTGAAAGGCAGCACTGATACATGGCACAGATATATGGCACTGATAGGCAGCACTGATAGGTGGCACTGATAGGCGGCACTGACTGGCACTGATAGGCGGCACTGACTGGCACTGATAGGCGACACTGACTGGCATGGATAGGCGGCACTGACTGGCACTGTTAGGCGGCACTGACAAGCACTGTTAGGCAGCACTGATGCACACTGATAGGCAGCACTGACTGGCACTGATAGGTGGCACTGATTGGCAGCACTGATAGGTGGCACTGATTGGCATTGATAGGTGGCACTGACTGGCACTGATGGGTGACACTGAAAGGCAGCTCAGATGGGCACTGATATGTGGCATTGATGTGCACTGGTAGGCACTGATATGTGGCACTGATGGGCACTGGCACGAGGCACTGACAGGTGGCACTGCTGGGACTACACTGATCATCAGGGCACACTGATCATCAGTGCCCTGATGATCAGTGTACATGTCCCCTCCGCGGAAAGCTGATTACTGGCTCTTCTCTCCTCTCGAGCTGTCAGCGTGACAGCTCGAGAGGAGAGAAATGCCGATAACCGGCATTTCCCTTTTTACATGTGATCAGCTGTGATTGGACACAGCTGATCACATGACCCAGCCGGTTCCTATGATCGGTGGTCGGCTGTGTCCGAGGGACACAGCGCACCGCCGATCACCGCGCTGCGCGCTCCCTGAGCCGCGCATGCGCAGTGAGAATGGGAAGATGCCATATGACGTCCTCCCAGAATGAGAGAACCACCTTGCGCCCGTCATATTACTATATGGCGAGCGGGAGGTGGTTAAACTCCAAAACAAAAATGTAATATATGAGGGGCATTCAAGTCAAACCTGGACTTTGAATTTTACAGGTATAAAAAGGGAAGCTAGCATGGCGGTACTACATGCAGTAGTAAGTGGCTAGTGTGTCCTATTACTGATAGGTAGCGCACATGTCGCAGGCCAGTCCAGAGACTGGTAATCAAATAAGACAACAGTGTTAGTGCGTGCATGGAACAGAGTGTGGTGATGAAGTTTCTTGTGAACGAAGGCGTAAAATCCGCAGATATCTACAGAGACTTCAAGCACAGTATGGTGATGAGACGCTCAGCCACAGTAAAACACTCACTATAAAGTGTTACTAATGCAGCACCATCCTAGTAAGCTAGGGGGAGCTAGATCCTAATGGTTAGGTAGTAGTTAGGCACCTCCCTAGTTAGCTAGGGGGAGCTAGATCCTAATGGTTAGGCAGGAGGCGTTAGCAGCTCATGTGTAATAGCCAGAGGGGTCAAATTGTGGTTAGGGCGGAGAGGTTCTGCAGGTCAGCCCTTCTCCCCCTGAGGCTTGGCAGGGAAGGAGCAGCCCAGCTGATAGGCCTGGTAGCAGCAGCCAACCGACAAGCGGTACAGGAGAGAGTCTGAGTGAGTACAACTGCACCCCCAGGGTGGATATGGGAAGGGAGCACTCTGGTGGGAAACCAGATTAGCCCCCCAACTAGTGACTGTACACCTACTTAAAGGGACATGAGCCAGAAACTCTGCTCAGGAGAACTTCCAGATTACTGGATGAAGAGGAGAATTTAATCTAGGGTCTGGGAGGTACATCAAGGAGACACTGGCTAGCTCTCCAACAGAGACTGTGTTGCAGAAAATAAGCTTGTGAATAGTTCCAGGAAGTTTGTCCTCAGTTATCAGTTCCCTTGGGCATCCTATACCCCCCTTACCCTATACCAGTCTTAAATCCCCTCAATAAATAAAAAAGCTCAAGGACTGATTTCTGATTCTGAACGCAAGCCTGTGTGGAGAATGCAGATTTCCTGGCTGTACAACACTATAGTGGGACCCAATTCAACAGCAACCCCTAAGAAGGTAGTGCTACATGTGGGGGCTCGTCCGGGATTCACCTACCTGCCATTACCCCTAGCAACAAACGAGCAAGAGAATAAAGTGCTGTAAAATTCAGTCAGCCATGTCAGGCTCAACTAAGAGTCTTTGTGCTGCTCCCCAGGTGCCTCCTAATAAAGACTGTGCCTTGTATGTGCTTTCGAACATATGTGAAACATTCACCACATTTCCTGCCCTGCCTGCCATTGCCCAATGCAACTGGGAAGGCTCATCAGTCCACATTTGTCCCTCTACTGCTCCTCAGGTGGCTACTAACAGAGACTATAGGACTGCATGGGACAGTGGAGTGTCTACCGTTTTTGTGCTTGCCATTGCCGGGAGAAACTGGGACTGTTTATTGCTGCATATCAGTCTGTGCGCTGCTAAACAGGTGGCAATAACAAATAATAGTAATCTTCTTGTCTGCTATGACCAATGGACTACAAAAGCTTTATTGTCTTGTGTCAATGCAACTTAGTAACTTTAATGGTGACTTTGCATTCAGCGGGCGGTGTGCTTCATGTCCCGATGTCGCCAATGGCAACCACTGTGGAGCAGCATCATTCCCAACACTCATATTGCCAGCACTACCCATCTTTTCAATGATGGCTGGAAACCAATGTCCAGTGCCAGCCAACAAACTGTCTATGACCCTGCCAGAAGGATACAGCCATCACCATATCTGCAGTCCAGTGTAAACAGTTCAAGTTGGAGCATCAGGGGTTCATTTAGTTGTGGGAGAATCCCAGTACAGCAGTCTGGCTGGTGCCAAGAGATCACGAGAAGGGGCATGGCCATGCCCATCAGCACACCCAGGTTAACGCCCAGACATCTGCCCTAAAAACTGCCCTCTACACCCACCACATGGAGAGTGGAGAAATATGGAGGGCATATTTTCAGTTTAAATAATAAAATATTTATAATTATAAAAAAAAAATTATAATTTTAAAAAATATAATAAATAATAAAAAAATTAAAATAAAAATAATTTTATAATAATTATTAATTAAATTAAAATAAAAAAAATAAATTTATAAATTAATAAAAATAAAAAAATTAAAAAAATAAATATATAATAATAATAATATAATGTACTCCAAAGTTTATCAGCCTGACCTTACCCTGGTGAACACGGGAGCCCTCTTTCAGCATTGCGGCTGTTTTGCTCTAGCAATGCTCGAGGGCACTGAGAAGCTGTGTTTAGTCTGCCCTGATTGGAGCTTGGGTCAGGGGCGGACACTGTGGAGAACCTTTGAACAAACTACTGCACAGCGATCTAGTGCCCCGTAACTACAGTGTAGACCTGCAAATGGGACTCTGCATGGAAAAGCTGAAAAGCCGGAGCTGGAAAGCGGATGGATGTTCAGAGCCTTTTATACCAAGCGGGGTCGAGTCCCGGGGCTGCGACTCCCCCAGCACCTTTGTAGACCCTCACAGTGGAGAAGGGTCACACACCACCATTTCCTGCCTGCCAGAGAATGCTGGAGAGCTGGTGCCAACAAGTGCTGCTTCGCAGGAACCAGTCGATGCCACGGACCAGCCAGCCTTGCTTACCTGCCCTGACCTTGCCCTGAGTTGAGAGAAAAAAACAACTGCTATAGTTATAATTCACGGCATGCCTTCATTGTAACCGTTAAATTGATGGGTTTATTTCCAGTGTAAAGTGGAATTAGAAGGCAAAATAAAAATAATTACATATATGATACAATCTGTCACTAGCACTATCACAGCCATTTTTGTTTTTCCAGGTCCCCTGTAACATAGTTTTATTATCTTTTGATCCTGCCAGTAGATCCATTACTTTTCCTGTAACAAGCCAATTTGTCCAGCACAAATGAGAGTTACAGGGGTTGGAGAAAACCATACAACACTCACATGGGTGCTTGCAAAAGTCAACCTTCATTTACATTGTTTAAACCTTTTTTCCAGAGAAAACAAACTTCTGCTGTGACTGCCTGAAAATGTTAGCTAGTCAAATTTGTAATTTGTGGAGATGGGTCAGTTCAGACTGATACACTTTTCCCACCATGGCAGACCAATGCTAACACTAACCTCAAGCCTGCAAATGAGCCCGACCTGGACTTCATGAGATGCATTCAACTTACACACCTCACGAAGTTCATATCTCAGATTCCACATGCCATGTTGCAAGGGATTCGTCCTAGCACCCCTTTTCAAAAAACTGTGCTTGGACCACACCCCTATATATCATTCTTCCACATTTATTATGAAGGAACACCCCCAGAATCCAAAGTTCTTATTGGAACAAGAAAGGGACTGTACCAATACATTCTCCAAAGCCCAAAAAGACCAGATACGTCTCTTTACTCACAAAGCTTTATTGGCCAATACATACCAGGAGAACAAATATAAGTTACTGACACATATAAAACTCCATAGCTACTACATCAAATATATCTTAAGGTGTCCTCCCCCCTCCCCAACCCCCATCTGCAATGCCAGAGACCAAGAACACGCTCCTACATGTTTTCTATAACTGCCCTAGACTGTAGGGCTTCTGGTCTGCTGTTAAAAGCAAAATTAAAACCCTTACTCACTCTCTTGCAGATAAACCACCAACTTAATTATTCCACAATACCCTGCTAGCAATTAAACACTATAAGAACTCCTTCCACAAACACCTCTTGAATGTAGCAATGGCCTGCATATCTGTCATGTAGAAAAAAATAGAACCGCCTAATAAATACCACTGGTATGCCAGAATAAATTATACAGCCTACTACAAATGGAACAACTCATTTCAAAATTAAACTAACAATCAAATCAAATCTGGAAGCTGTGGTTCCTCTAAGAGGACTTGTTATCTTATTGTCACAACTCTCCATAAGATCTCCATGTGCTTCTGGGTTGAGAGATAGAGCAGCACACATCAGAGAGAGAATGTTCCCCCATTTCCCTCCCCTTTTTTTCTTACGCCCCGCCCCCTCTTCCTCCTCACTCTTATATGATATGGAAAATGTAAGGAAGAATGTTATTTAAGAACATACTGAGCCTGGTGGATGTACTTACAATAGATCAAATTTACTCTGTAATCTATCCACTACCTGCCATTTTATGTCCTAGCATTTACCATTTATTAAATATTAAAAAGGGGGCTAGCTAGCAAGGTAGCTGTAATTTGTTTATCTCTTACTGTTGGCCTGTAAACCCGTTGTGGTAATGCCAGAGACAGACTGCATTATATATGTAATTTTTTTTTTATTTTGCCCATAGTTATGCTTTAAGTTTTGAGCCGTATGCTCAAACAATTCAAATATATTAATCAACTGAACGATTATTCAATTATGTTTCTGAGAAAAGACTTACAGTAAGATGCCAGAGGCCCTTACCATCAATGGTACAGACAAACACCTATATCAAAGTCACACCAAGAAAACAAAGAACATAACTTAAATGGCATGCTATAGGGTCACATCACTGAAAGGCCCTTGGCTCTATAACTTCTGCTTTAAACACAATTCCACTACTGAGACCTGTCCAATATAAAGTGATAACAAACACTGAATATCATAGCATTATTTCCATAGCAATCTGACAGAGGTATCTGAACTGGACTGTATGTAGACTTATTTTCTTACAAACAAGAATAACATTTTATTACTGTGAGCTATCGCTAGTTCATTCTAAATCATGGATGCCCAAACAGCACTCTGTGGAACCCTAAGGTTCCACCAGAGGTTGCTACGGGATCAGGGGCGGACTGACAACTCATGGGGCCCCCGGGCAATAGGGGATCATGGGGCCCCTGTGTCCTTGCCCAAACTCAAAAAAGCCTAGGAAAAAGGTACCAGGGTCATATCATG